CGTGCACACACGTCCAATCCTCACACTCACACTCACACTCACACTCTCACTCTCACTCTCACTCTCACTCTCACTCTCACTCACTCACTCACTCACTCACTCACTCACTCACTCACTCACTCACTCACTCACTCACTCACTCACTCACTCACTCACTCACTCACTCACTCACTCACTCACTCACTCACTCACTCACTCACTCACTCACTCACTCACTCACTCACTCACTCACTCACTCACTCACTCACTCACTCACTCACTCACTCACTCACTCACTCACTCACTCACTCACTCACTCACTCACTCACTCACTCACTCACTCACTCACTCACTCACTCACTCACTCACTCACTCACTCACTCACTCGCTCACTACCGCGCACGCACGCAGGACGCACGCTCGCACACCACACATACACACGCCACACGCACACACGCAAGACACGAGACACACACACAACACCCCACGGGGCTGTACGCCACACCCAACACCCTACGGGGCTGTAGGCGGCCGTGCGGGCGGCGAGTTGGATGGCGGAGTTGGACTGGGCCGCGCTCGAGGCGCACTCGCTCCCGCCGCCGCACGTGCCGCCGCCGCTCGACGCCGACGCTGACGTCGCGCTCTGCGAGCTCACCAAGCGCTGCCAGTCGGGGTTCGACTGACGAAGGGCGTGTGAGGGGGGAAGGTGCGGGTCGCGTTCGCGCATCGCGGGTGGCCTGTCTCGAGAAAACTGAACCAGGGCACAGTCTTCTTGGCGTGTTTTAAATCCTGAGCATACGAAACCCGTACCTTCACTCATGAATTTGAATAGTGTTAGTCTAACCAATAAAGCCGTAGTGAATTGACAACCTCGAAATGTGCACACCTCTGTGCGGGATCTGGCCTGCGCGCTGCGGCTGCGCGCCGTCTGTGCGGGGTGCCCGCCCCCGCGCGCGCGCCACCCACTCGCCACTCCCACTGCGAGTGAGACGGCTCGCACGCATAACACCTCCACGCTCACGAGGAGACTGAGAGACGCACACGCACCCTCCACGCTCTTGACAGCTCTCCACCCAGGGCACCGGACCCAGACCGCACGTGTGTGGGGGATGTCCCGCATTCGTCAAATTCGTGCGCTTTTTTACCGGACTTGCTTGAACGGACACGGCTCTAAAATGTAGCCAAACGTCGGATTCGACTGGAGAGTACAGTCTGTTGCGGGCATTAAGAAAACAGGATCCCGCGGCACGCCGCCGTTTCTAAGCCTTTCCACCCACCCCACCCACCCCACGCCGTGGTTTCTTAGCTTCGGCCGGCACCCCAGGTCAGCCGGGATCTAGGAATTTTTAGGTAAAATGACAATAAGGAAGCGCTGGAGGCCGATGCGCCAGTCAGCAGTCTTGGGATGACAGGAAGACGCACACACCTCCATCCACACCGCCCAGAACACCGCAGACTTGGGCAAAATGACAAGTGCGCGCGCCGCAGGCGAAGAGAAAATTTGAGCGGGGCTCCTGTTCACACTCGTGTGTGGGCCCTTTCTTGGGGCCGCGCCTGCGGCGCGCCGTGGTTTCTTAGATTTTCGCGGAAATTGCTTGGTAGGGTTTCTTAATGGGACGCTTTCTTAATGCCCGCAACAGACTGTACCTGGCATGGGCCGGGGAAACCATCGAGTGCACGAACGATGTGCTTCTGGCTGCTCGTTCCGCACACCGCGTACGGCACTATACCACGACGGCGCTTCTGCGCTGAGGGCGTGTCCCACTTGCCAGCCCTGCCAGCCCACCTCCTCGAGGAGATTCACCGCGGCAACGTGGTCGCGTTCATGGATTCCTTGAACGATATCGGTGTCGAAACACCGCTCTGACAGCGCTCAACAGCTGTGAACCATATTTTGTCGCCATGACGACCGGTGTAGAAACCCGTGCCGTTGGGCGCACCTCTGACTGAGAGAGGTGTCGACCTCTGGTGGTGTTGCGCGCTCTGCGCAGCGCCACCGGCGGCGCGTCGGAGTGTGGCGGCCGCCTCTCGTGCGGTGCCAAGAGGTTCTCCGGAAGCGGAACCCTTACGCGCACCACCAGCGGCCGCCTTCAACTCCCCGGCGGGGCCGGCTGGACCCCGGCACGCTCGGCTTCCTCCTCCGCGCTTTGCGCAGAGTCACAATCCATGGGTCAGCTGCTGGTGGAACCACCTCAAGGCCGGCGCGCGGGCGATGGACTGTGAGCCGCCAGTGCTGCCATGCTGCCTCGGAGGCTCCGGGAGCGACAGCCTGGCGGGTACGATGCCGGGTCGCGTGCCTATTGCTGCTTGTCGTGCTGCTCCCATCGTCGCCGTCCATGTAGTATTATCTGTCAGACGACGAGACGACGACCACGCGGTGAACACACACAATAATAACGCACGGGCCCTCAGCGGAGCTGGGAAGAGGACCGCCGCAAGCGGCGTGGCGTGGAGCGGTTGAGCATCCCTCCGGGGGCCCCTCTGCGCCGGGGAGGCGTTGTTGGAGGCTAGGACGCTTGCGTCCGTCGCCCTTTTCAAACTCGGGGCCCAGAGCTAGAAGGGGAGATGGAGAGAACAACCACCCTGTCCCGTTATTGCGTACACCAACACCACAAAAGCTCTCTCTCTCCTGCTCCTCACACTCAGGGGGCGGTCACGACTACCGAGTCCCTCGAGCCTAGCTGCCACGTTCAAAACCAGGACGGCGACAGTGATGGTGCTATCACGGGCATGGTCAGGGGAAAGTGGAGCGGGGGGGGGCGAGCGTCAGCCAGCCAGGTACGGGATAGTAGAGCAGGCGCTTTGTGGGTGGCGGTGGGCGGCGGCGCTGGGTGGCCGGCCGAATCGTTAGCTGAGCTCCTCCCTCACGCTCGATCACGCATGACGCACTTATCCATCGCGTCCCAGTTCTCCAGCTGATCGTTGGTTGTATTTGTTGATTGGTCCTTTAAATCTCCTGGGTTGGCGTGCCCCGAGAGCTGCGTCTGGAGCTCCCGAGGCACATCGCCACACGACCCCGGCGTCGGCGCTCAAACAGGCCCCACTGGGAACCACACACACACATGCGCCGACGCCGTGAGGACAGGACACTCCCTGTCCACACATACAATCAGAGAACACTCGCGTGCAAGGGAAGAGGAGGGTGGGTCACGCGAGATTGCGCACGACTCGGACGATGGGGTTGAGCAAGCAGCCCGAAGCTGCGAGCCGACGGCGACGCGTGCTTTCGGCGTTTCGGCGATTTGGATGGATCGCACGTTTTGTTATGCTTGCTGTCCCCCTCTCCTCACGTTGAAGGATAACCTACATAGCCGCTGCGCGGCTATCTCCGATTATCCATCGCGTCCGAGTTCTCCAGCTGATCGTTGGTTGTATGACCGCCCTCCTTTCTCGTTCGGCGGCGGTACGTCTTCGGTCCCCGCGGGAAGCCCCGCGCATAGGACAACAACGTCTGTACCATACGCACAGACGCGCTCGTACATCATGCTCGGGCACCCCCCACAGTGTAGTGGTGTGAGCACACACAAGTACTAGCGGAGTGCTTAGCACACCTGCCTTGGCGGAAGCGTGAGGGTCGTAAGAATCAAAGCCTCTTGGTGCCAAACGTGCTCAAGCGCGCCGAAGAGAGACGATCTACGCTCCTTCTCGTTCGGTGTGAGTTAATAGATCATAGAACCGCGTCGTGGCTGTCGCATCGTCCGGCGGGCGGGACGGGTACGCATCGGTCGGTAGACCCGCGAGAGCTGTAGCGATTTAACGGCCAGTTTTACCAGCGGCACCGCGGTGGGTGCGCACTCGCGTGAAGAGGAGAAGAACTTTTCGACACCCTCGACGACTTTCTCGGCTACGGTTCCGACTCAGGCTCCGGCTAGTTGACAAGCTGCCGAGCCCAAGTCACTGTGAGTGCTGATTTCTTGTTGGCTTCTAAATCTCTCTCTCTCTCTCTCTCTCTCTCTCGCGCGCGCGCGCGTGGTGGACGCGTACTCCGCCCATCGCTGGCCGCAATCTCCCATCCTTCCCTGGGCCGCTTATCACCGGCCCGCCGCACGCACTAACCTCTTGAGTTTTCCGTGGCGCCCCGGCTTTTCCGCCCGAGCTCGTGACTCAGGCCACCACTACTCGAGGGGTGGGGCGGGGGGGCCCGGGTTCACACTGAGCCAAGGGGAGTTCAAGATTCTTTTTTAGCGAGGAGATGAGTCGTAAAATTCTTTGATGTTAAGACGCCGTGTACCGTGGGGCCTTGTTAGCACAGCAGCAGCAGCAGCTTCGATGTTAAACAATTCACTTGCAGAAAAAGGGAGAACAGCGTCTCGACGGCCAGAGGGCGGCGCCCCGTAGTGTGCACCTCCTCTGTGCCCGGCATGACTGCGCTGACTGCGCTTTGCTTGCTCTTGACCTCAAAGCTCGCCACCTCCATGCTCGGCGCGGATGCTGACCGCCGGCCCGCGCACGCTCAGAACGTCGACATCACGTCGCGCGCCGACGACTACGTGCCGCGCGCCGCCGAAACCGACAATTCGACGATTGCGGAGCTGGCCTTCTCATCACCTCACCTCTACCGTCTTGGAGACATTGTGTGGCGCTTCAGATCGCCAAAGTATGCGCTCGCGACATACCAGGTGAGCGAGCCATATGTTTGTGGCCTCTGGCCCGCTTCATTGGGCTGCCGGTACCTCCATGTGTGTGGCGACCGGCGATTCAACAAGCGCTGCTTCATCAGCCTTTTAGACCTCCGCCGCCCCGCTACTCGTGCCGCCGCCGGCGCAGTCCTCGTCCACCTCCGCACTGGAGACATGCTCGTGCGCGGCGATTGCGCGGCCGAGCCGCCTTGTCTCCACGACGGCAAGGCGACCCCCACCGCGGCGGGCTACCGGAGCATCCTCCCTCGCCTGCCTCTGCCCAATGCGTCCAGCGTCACGGTCGTCTACTCGACGCACTTCCAACTGCCGCCAGAGCGGGAGCGAAGCGCGGGAGAGGCGGAGGCCGCCGCCCGCATGTACTCCGCGCGCTCGGACGGCTACGCGCTCGCCGTCGGTCGCGTCTTCGAGGCGGCCGGGCACGAGGTCTGTACACTGTTAATTAATCGGCCGTCCGCGAGCCCCTAGATCGCCGACGGCGAGAGAGATGCCACGAGGGGTCGCGCTGGCGTCCATCGCCAGGCTCCCTAGCTCAACCGACGACCCTCGTGCCTCGGGATCGACGGCCGATCGTCATGCGCTGCACCAGTGGTCAGCAGATCGGGCCCACGTCCTCGCCCGAGCAACTATAGCACAGGGGCCCGCATGGGAGCGCCGCCTAAGCCCGCAGCGGGTGGGAGCGTGGTGACGCAGCGGACAACACACTGCCCGTAGGTGCGCTACCGCCGCACCGAGGTGCGCGCGGCTACGCCGACTCTTTCAGCCGCCGTGTGACGCGCCATCTCTTCTCACACCTTCCGCCGTGCGGAACAGGCCGCCTCGAGCTCGGCCGACGCCGCCGCCAGCGCGGACGCGGACATCCTCTCCGCCGCAGCCGCGGGGACGTTCGTGCGCCCAGACGCTGACTCCAGACGCGTGTATTCCGACTCTAGCACTCCAAAGAGGGCAGGTGCTGCGGACGCGTACACTCGTGGCTGTCTGAGACGGACTCAGACGTACGAATGAGGACACTCCGCTGTATGCATGGCTCAGACTGGACTCCTCTT